TTCCTTCTCTCCCCTGCAAGACCACAATAGCCCACTGACCAGCCAATTTCTGCATGCAGGGCCAGATACCCTTGGGTCTTCCCGCATTCCCCACATTCCAGATGTTTTTTCTGCCTTCCCCCCCTTTTTCCTCTTATCTTTCTGCCTTTATTTTATTCCCTCAAACCCCTTTCTCCCACCTATCTCTCTTCCACACATCTTATTCTCTCTGTTGCTTTTCCCTGCCTGCCTTTCACTCCGTCCTTCCCTGTGACTTTGTGTTTCTGCTGAGGCTGCCTCCTTTCCTTCATCTCCTCCTAACTGACACACACACACAAATGGTTTGAACTGTTTCATTAACCTCCCACTATTCTCTTTGGACCAAATCCTGGATTGTTGTAAACCAGTGTTACTCCGTCTATTGATGTGTGAGTGCATGCCCGGACTGGCAATCTGGCAGCCAGAATGGCAATGTGGGGGGAAAATTGTGGAGAAAATATTTGACCTGCAGGCCACGGCCCACTTGATGTTGGAACAGCTCTGACTCAGGGTCACACCGTCCCAGAATTGCCAATAGGCTACCTATACTGTAAGGCAGGTGCAGGTATTAGTACTGACCGATTTCACCTCCCCCCACCCCTTAAAGTGGATCCATCCATCCATGTAATGTCAAGTGGGAAATTAAATCAAGACACAAAAAGGTGTCTGAATTGAAAATCCAAATGGAATGGATAGAAGGACAGAAGAAGCAAAAAGGTGGAGTGGAAAAGGTCAAAGGTAAAGAAGACAGGCTGATGCAGCAAAATGTTTTAAGTTAACACATTTTTATTCAAAACTATCGATCCCAGTGCCACACATAACTCTGCTAGCTGCAGTGATAACATTCTCAAATAAAGATGAGGAAGAAAGAGTGTGGACCGATCAGGAGCAAGTTAACAGAGCTGCGATGGGGCCGGTCCAGAACAAAATTGCCACGGCTGAATTTAACCCTGTGCGAGTGTGACAGCTTGCTACCAAACAGAAGAGCTAATGGGAAGTTGGAAGCTGGAGTGTGGTTAAGCTAAAGTACACTTTTCTTTAGATGACAGGGCACACTCTCCCATTCATTAGCCACAGTGCACTCCATTAGATGGTTAACACTTTCAATTAACTCAACACTGCTGCCTGTTTAATATGCCCCGCACTCTGGGGGAAACCTCTCACAATTTGGCCAATTACCCATCTCCACAAACCAACTGCTTTCAATGCATTATATGTATCAGCCGCAGCAGGGTCCAGCTGAATTACACACAGAATGCATGAGGCATTAAGGGAGATCATTTAGGGAGATGGGGTAATTTCAGAAGCTATTTCCCATGGGCTAATGTTGTATGGATATGGCGTCTGTTTGTGCGTTTAATCATAACAATGTTGAGGTCTGATGCAGAGTAAAACTTAATTCCTGTGGGGATAATCTCCAAACATCGCATTGCCCTCATCTTAGGATGCAATGTACACAGTCAACAAATAAATCATGTGCTTAGACATTTGTGGAGAAGAATAATGGGAAGATTTCACCAGTTTCCAGATCATGAGGATATTCTTTATTAAAACTTTAAGGGCTATGGATCAATAAAATATTGACAATGAGGTTACACGTTTATGTATATAGTATTACTCTTGACACTAGTGGGGTTATTTACATACTTAAATGTGCCTGTGGCTTAATGTATGATGGAAAAACAACTGAAAATGCATTGTTTAGAATACATAAGTGCCATCAGAATGCAGCTTTCCTCATAGCATCTGTACCATATCTGTCGTCTTCAACGCATATATGAACCGCTATTAATGAGGTGGCAGTCTGTGCAAATCACTTGCTTTTCAATACATAAACAAATACCTAGATTTCAGATGTTTCCTATGAAATAACCATGGTTAATTGTATTAAGCCTATATATTTCATTTTGATTTGATGATATAGTAAAAGATTGTGTGGATTCTCTTGGCGTCTGTTTTTATTTACAATGAAACGCACCAAAAGAGTGTCTCTCACAGTGTGGCTATAAAGTAGACCACAAAATGGTTCTGACATGGGGAAAAGAATTGAACAGCTAAAGAAACACGTGATCTGTGTTTCACTTGTCTCTCAAGAGTCTGATTTCACAACAGACACTGACACAACTAACCTGTTGGATGATTTGTGAAAATGTATGAAACACTTCTGTTTAGCCATGATAAAGGTCGGAGCTGAAGCACTGGGCTTGAGTAATATAAAGAGTGAAGTCTTGTGTACCTTACTGCAGCAGCAGCACAGATCTGTTTGCTCACCTTACCAAATCCATGTTTTTTTCTTTATTACCCCAGATGTTTGTCATGGTTGACTGAAGGCTGTCAAACAAGTCACATATCTAGAATCTACACCTTGGGCATAAAGCAAAGTTGGACTTGGGAAATCTTGGATGGTTCTCCTGTAAATATATATATACATAAAAATATAAATATATTTTAAAGGCCCTGCACATCCACACAGTGTACACACTATAGATTAAGTATTCATACAGTTACAGGAGGTAACTGTATGAATACCTGTAGGGATTTATCCGGGAGTTAAGGGGCGGGGGGCTGTAACCGAGGTGCAGAGTTCAACAAGGCGAAGAAGCTGTTCCTGACCCTGCTGTCCTGGAACGGAGAGTCCTGTAGCACCTCCCAGAGGGGAGGAGGGCAAACAATCCCTGAGGATGCTGCACATTTTATAGATGTGGTATTCTGCATGCTTCCTCACTAGACTCGCTAACTGACACACCAAAATGGAGAGTAGCCATCATTCATGGTATTAGTTCAGCCTGTAATCTTCCTGCTGTGACAAGTAAAAATATCTGCTGTGAAAAACGCCTACAATGATGGTGTAATCTGTCCTACCCTAACAGGTGAAAGAAAACCAGGAGAATCAGGGAGATGTCAATCAGTCTAATAAGGGAAGAGGTCTAATCACGCATAATAAATTCCACCAATACATTTCACTACTATTAATCCAATCATTCTATTTCTCGCGTCACTTTTTTAGAGTCCTAACCCCTCCTCTGCATTTGTCTTCGGCCTGCTCTGTGGTCCCTCTGTCACAAGCTGATAAATGAGAGCCCAGTGAAAGCCAGCACAATCCCATCTCTTTGTATTTACAGTGCGGCAGTACTATGTGGTTATAGGGTCATCTAATTTCATTTCATGCTCAGAAGAAAAGACAAGGAGGCCTGATGAAATGAAGACAGCCCTGTTATCTTCTGAGCAACGTAGTTGAAAGGGTTCAATCACTATCTTTGCACCTTCTACCTATCTGTCTTTTCTCTCTCTGTCTTTACATTCAGTGTTTCTCTTGTTGTTGAATAAGGAGAGTTTAAAGAGGCTTTAATCAAGGCCAGTACTTCTCTAATGTTCTGCCTCATGAGGATTTCTAATGCCTGGCCTGTTGAGCTTACCATCTGTGGAATGTGTGGTTTCTTCGGTCCAATATGTAGCTACTATTACGGTTATTATTCTCCTTAACAAAAGCAGACCGCTTCTGTTTGCCAAAGCGCAGTCAAAATCTGAAGTAGTGGCTGCTATTTATGATGACCTCGCTCTTACATAAGATGGAATTTACAGCTAAATACCATGCAAAGTGAATTTCAAATGGGTAACCATCACAATCCTAAGCACATAAAAAACATCTAAATTGCTTCAGTAGTGAAATGTGGAATACATAATCCTCTATAAATTATAAATGTCATAGTGCATCAAGCAGGACTTTGTTTATTAATTTAGTGGATGTGACTCTAAATTCAAACAGTAGCACAGACTAATGGGGCTGGTGAGAGTACTCAGCAAATCATTAAAATCATCAACTTTGATCATCAAGGTCATTTTAGAGACTAATTTCCCTCTGAAAAATCACAAAGCTGTCAATACTCAGCAAAGAGAT